CATATCGAAGACGGTGTGGAACATAAAGCGACAATGTGGCCATATTAAAATGTGTAATATTTGTAATACGTTTGACGAAAATATCTTTGGATGAAAAATCCGCGTTTATGTATTGAAAATTTATTAGTGTTAAACATAGAATAAACAACAAAAATAAAAATTCTTTTATAGGCAGTGAATATTTCATATCGTCAGCTTTATGACGAAAAGGCTTATCTCGATTTTTGCTACTTTTCAGGAGAGCAATTTAAAGAAAATCACTTACTTTATTTGACCAATAAATGTAAAGTCTTTAATTTTTTAATAGTGTTTTTGTATTAACACTTAAACGGAGACATTGAGGAAACGTTCTGAAGATAAATTGTGCGCTAATTCTAATAATTAATTTCTATTTAGTTGTTTAATAGAGATAGGCCTTTTTGTTATAATAATAATAAATTTATTTCCGAACGAATAGTATACATACGCCCATGTAAAATAAATTTAAAAATGATGGTAATGTGTTCCTAATAAGGAAAAAAAAATACAATATTTACATTATGATACAAGAAAATACAATACATACATACAGAAAAAATCTGAAAATCACCAAAAAATCAGAAACAAATATTTTTAAATACTTTTATTCGCGTTGGATTAGATCAACTGAAAACAAAGACAATTTTAATTCCAGAAGCAAAGACAATAATCATTTAAAATACACTTATCTAGCTTATTTTAATAATATTGTTTTTTATACAAAAATACATTTTTTTAACTAATATATTTTTAGTAGTTATTCAGTTAATTGAGGGCATTAATACAAGGCATTTAAACTCACGGTCCATTTAATAAAAACCAAACTAAACAAAAACAAAACATGTTTCTTCATTCGTGCCTTTTACTGTGGACTAACAGTTTCTGTTTTCCCTTTTCAATAATAACAAATTCGACTTCCATTCTACATGTTTATGCAGGATGATGATAGGCACAATAAATAAAATTTTCCAAAAATTGACAGGGATGACAATGCCAATGGTCTGACAATGATAATGAGATAAAAATTATTGTATTTTTCTAAAATGTTCTTAGGGAAATTATAATTAGGGCAATTTTCGTTTCGTTGTTTTGCTTTCGATCAATTTTTCTTCGGCCATTTATTCTCGGACAATCTTTTGCATACCCGATACAGCTATGTGCAGAGTCTAGCTCATTCTAACAATGGTTTTTGGCAAAAAAAAGAGACTCAAAATGACACTGTAAAAGAGAGCTGCTGCCATGATAGAAGTTTTATTTTGTCCCAAGCAACCATCAGAAAATAATTAGGTAAAATGGTGTGATTTTCTCTCGCATGCATTTTCATAACTTAAAACAAAAGGACCTATCTCAAATTCCATCTTTCTTGTAGTATAACAGTTGGTATAACAATTGATATAACAAAGAGCCCTATCTCAACATACGTCTCTTCGTCATAACGAAGAATTGTAGTATTTGAGTTGGGGCAAATTTTTAAACGAATATAAAATGAAAAAGGTACAATATCGAGATGCGCAAATTCGCTTTGTTAAAATATGACCCATTGGGCATGTCATGTCACGTTGATATCTCAAAATCGCCAAAAATCGAGATACGCCTTTTCGTCATAAAGCCGACGATATGATCGAAAAAAGTCGTTTAGTTGGTTTGGAAATGACGGCTATTGACATTTACTATAATACTTTACATATGAAATGACAGCGATCTTCATTTCCAATTCAACTCTGACGCCGTTCTTTGATAAAGTTGTAATATACCTAAAGTTATCAGGTTGTAATAAAGAATCCGTATTATTAACGCAGTAGTTTTGGCAACACTGTCTCCGGCAACCGTTCACTCTGTCGACTGAAATCAGAACTACGGTACAGTATTTTTCATCCGCTGCGCTGTAAACGACTACGAGCACGCAACGGCGCAGAGCTAAACCAATACCGCCAGCTGCATCTCGAACAGGTTTTGTGCCAGAAATCGCCCATGAGGTTGCGCATCTTCTTATTTCTTCAAACAACGATAGAACGTTGTTTTTGTCCAACTTTACTATTGATAAATATTTTTATGTCCAAAATCGATTTTTATTCGCTAATTTTCTCATTTATAGTGATTACATTCAATTTCTTCCATCCAGAAAGTCGTGTTTGATACTTTTCCTAGTAAAAAAATATTACAAAAGCTTTTAAGGTTTTAAAGTAATTCTCAATTGTCGTTTTAGATACAATTGTCACTTTTAATAAGTCATATTTTTCGTTCTAAAAAATAGAAAATAATTCTGAAAAAATCACTAAAAAACTATGAATTGAATAAATGCTCATTCATACGTTTTACATGGCCGTACCAGACAAGTTGCCTTCTTTCGATATTAGTCATAATCGTGTCCCGAATTCCCATTTGTTCCCGGATATTTCCATTTCTCACTCTCTCGGTACTGGATACTCTGACGGATCTTCTAAGTCTATGTTTTTTGATTTTTTGTCATTCTCCAAGTCTCAGAACCATATAACTTTTAATTTATATTGTATTTCCTACGTTTTGTAATACTTTTACTCCAGAGGATTCCATTCAAACAATTAATTGCCTTTCGTGCTTGTATTGAGTTGATATAAAAAACAAAATATTTCCCTCAGTATTTCCAAGTTTCGAATAAGACATTATTATGAGAATACTTGCAGTTTTAGAGAATCAATAATTGATTTTTGAACTTTGAAATTCACTGAAATGAAGGAAAGTCCAATCCTACAAAGAAAATACACAGCATTCCATTTAACAAAATATAATTTGTTTGAATTAAATTATACATACGGGGTGGCCCATCGAAAACGTTTCGCAAGGCGTAACGGCCAGAGTATTTTTTTTTCAAAAAATCCAAAAACACGTCAATTTTGTTTGTGAGGGGGACAACTTTTGCCCCAAAAATGATTGCAAAATCTTCAACCCTTTGAGCGGGGGTGTCATCCCCCAATTTTTTTCAAAGGGGAAGGGGGGTCAAGTGTTACCGCAATAAAGAGGACTTTCTATTATCTATACCTTCCCACTTCGTTTTTGAAAATCGGTCGAGTCATTGAGAAAATATGAAGGATTGAAATTTGAAAAGTTTATTTAAAAATTTATCAGAGTAAATGATAAAGATAAATTCCTTCGACCAATTTGCTGTTTTTTCTTATTATTTCTAGATGTTTTCGCATTTTTTCACTTGCCACAAGGTTGAACGAACAGGTGCTGTAGTTGCGAGATAGCTGTACTGTGACTTGTGCGTTGAAGTTCTTCCCAATATCGTTAAATTTTTAACAATTATGGTGTACTCACTTGCAGAAAAAGTGGAAATAATCGAACTTTATTTTAAAAATAAACTTTATTTTACTTTATTTTAAAACGTCTTAGATGAGTTCTTGTACCAACTGAATTTTGTACGGGTGGAACTTTTTTTAATATCCTTTGGACGCTTGTACGATTCACGCCGGTCTCATTCGCTAATTTTCTTGTACTCAGCGTACTTGGCAACTTGGCCTAATACGAATACCTCCATAGCTTCATTTACTACAGGATTTTCCCTCTGCCTCTTTTTATTCATAACGGAACCAGTTTCGCGAAATTTTGCTACTAACTCGCGAACAATTTTGCCATAAAGGTGTTTGTTAGGATGGCGTTCATTGAATATCTGCGCAACCCGATTGCCACATTCATTATTTTTAAAATAAAGTTCGATTATTTCTACTTTTTCTGCAAGTGGGTACACCATAATTGTTAAAAAGTTTAACGGTATTGAGAAGAACTTCTACGCACAAGTCACAAAACAGCTATCTAGCAACTACCACACCTGATCGTTCAACTTTGTGGCAAGTGAAAAAATGCGAAAACATCTAGAAATAATAACAAAAAACAGCAAATTGGTCGAAGGAATTTATCCTCATCATTTACTCTGATAAATGTTTAAATAAACTTTTCAAATTTCAATCCTTCATATTTTCTCAATGACTTGACCGATTTTCAAAAACGAAGCGGGAAAGTATAGATAAAGAAAGCCCTTTTCATTGCGGTACCACTTGACCCCCCTTCCCATTTGAAAAAAATTGGGGGATGACACCCACGCTCAGAGGGTTGAAGATTTTGCAATCATTTTTGGGGCAAAAGTTGTCCCCCTCACAAACAAAATTGACGTGTTTTTGAATTTTCTGAAAAAAAATTACCCTGACCGTTATGCCTTGCGGAACGTTTTCGAAGGGCCACCCTGTATATGAAAAGTTTTGAAAATATGAGGTAATATTTCTATTTAAGGTGCCCGGTAGCGTAGAGGTACAGGCTCTCGTCTACCAATCTCAAGGTGTGGGTTCGATTCCCACACCCGGCATTTCATCAGCCGACTATTTTTATCAAAATAAAAATAGTTTGGGTACCTAGGTCGACTCAGCCTTAAATGAGTACTTGGGATTCACAATCCTGAGGTAATAATAGGCGGTTGAAGCGTAGTGCTAGCCACATTACCTTCCTTGTATACCGAACGGCTCTAGTATAGCAAGCTGTACCTTGCTACTCCCAAGGCGTTAAACGCTATATAGGGGAGCTATTATTATTATTAGGTAATATTTCCTGTATCACAATTTTAAAGAATTTTATTTAAACTGTGACTGTATGTTTTAGAAAATTATTGAATTGGGTCATCCATTACACATAAAAAAAAATACATGAAGAATCTCTATTTCTATTAGGTTCAACAATTAATTGGTATAAAACAATTTTTAATTATACATATATGTTTTTGTAATGAAGTATTTGTTTCATCATTTTTGACTAACATACACATCCAAGTTCTTATTTGGCAAACTAAAGTTGTTTCTTTTAGTTTCAAGGCAATATTAGGCACGATTTTAATTTATACTTTACATTCAAAGGAATTATATGTTCTGTTTTGGATAAGTTTCATTGTGTTTATACAAGGACAGTAATTCACGATTTTTTCTTTCTTTGTAGATTGGAGTGGAATCCGTTTAAGGAAGAACAACTAATTTAAAAGGTAAGAATTCAACATATACTTACTTATTGCTAATGTTTTTATCAAAACAACAATAACAAAACTGTTATTCTTTATAACATAAACAAGAATTAGTAACTAATGTGAATGATTTGAAATAAACATATTTATTATTGTAATTTTCTTCTTAAACGATATCCCTAATTCATTATTAAAACAAAAATGTGTAACATTCATTTTTGTCTAGACAAACATTTTGACCGAAAATTGAGTGCTTTAGAAAAATAGTAATGTTCTTAGGTTATAAAGACCTATATTTTGATATACATTCGTAAACATTATAAGATTGAGACATATGTCTAATCTAGATGTTGTATTAAACAAGTTAATTTAAAGGATATTCTCATTAATAACGCTTCATTTAATAAGTTATGATCCTATAATTTAAACATTAAGACACTAAGGAAGTTGCTAACTCTGTTAAAATATTATCAGTAATAATCAAAAAAAGACCGTTTTATAGTATGAAGTTTTCAAATCGACATCCTTAATTTAAAACACTCAATTTGCATTGCCTTTGAAGCACCTTCGAAGTATGTATACTCATAACTAATGCAGAATTATTATTGCTATGAATAAAACATATCATCGCTGTTAACTTTCATTTGATATTTTCGCTAAATGTAGTTAAAACACTTTTATTTATATCTAAGTAACAAATCATTTAATAAACAGTAACAAACAACATTTGCAATTATTACATTTTTGCTTTCGATTTTCCTGCTTTGGACCCAAGTCGAGAAGTTCGAATAGTCCTATAAATAGACAGTTAAAGCAAGGCACAATACGTATACGTATCTCTCGACACGTAACACAGAAACCTACGTTACGTCTGCCGTTCCGTTGTCGTTAAAGCAAGTATTTTGACGTATGTAGCATCATTTGTAATTCTAAATTATTTTGTGAAACAATTTATTTAATTTTAAAACTGAAAATGGATATCTATTATCCCACTGATTCTACATTAAATTTATAAAAGTAATATCGAAAAATGAAGAAAATTATAAATGGAAATTATGTTATTACAGAAAGTAGTCCTTACAACTTAAAATGCTATTAGTAATAAAAATATTGGAAAACAGACACAGTTTTATTATTTATTAGATATTTATTAGATTTTAGAATCCTCATACGGATTTTGGCTAAGAACTAGCATTTAATTAAATAGATTCCAAAATGAGTTTATTATGATGCTTAATATTTTCATACTAATTTATTGTACTAAAATAGGCCCAGTTCTGTTACACTGGCCCCAAAATTTATGAAATAACTTAATTACTAGCCAGTTCATCAGTTGTGGAAACGAGTTGTTTGTGAATTTGTACTTCGGCATCATTTGGTTGAAAATCGAAACTCCTTCGGCACGTAAAGATAAGGTGCGATCCACCAACGAACTTGTCGCGAACAGTTCGTGAACAGCTACATACGCTGTTCGCGATCAATTTGCCAACAGTTTGTGGAGAGTTCGCAGTCCTGTTAGCGAACTGTTTACCGGATACCATAAATTGTTTGCTTTAGTCCGGTTATGGTGTTCACCGAGTGTTCCACGTTTTCTGTCTTGCATGTCATGGCTCCGTTTGATACCGAAAACCTATTGTTAGCTTGCGCTGCCTTTATTGTTATATCCGAAGAAAATAATAAGAAAAGACCGCGACGTCATCCACGATACTGCCCGAGAAGTTTTTTGCAAGCAAGGAAAAATTACAGTGGCAGTCATTTACTGACAGACTTAAAAGTCGATGATGCAGCTGGATTTAAAATTTTTTGTCGTATGTCAGTTACTGATTTTGAGTATTTACCTAAAATTGCAAAGCGTAATACCAACTACAGAGATGCGATTCCCTTACTTGAATGACTGGTAGTCACACTACGATTTTTGGCTACAGGGGCTCATACACTAGTCTGATGTATGTATCTATTTAAAATATCAAACCAAGTGATATCTAGAATTGTCCCCCTTCTCGGGAGACATTCATTTCTGCGGCTAACTCTGCCCATGCATCAAACTTTTTTGTCTTATTTCTATACTCAGTTAATTTCACATTCCACAAAACTTCTTCTTCTCGTTATTTTTCTATTAAGCATAAAACTTTTTTATCTGTCCACTCCATAATCAAAATGCAAGTAGACTGACGACGCGATACTGTTGAAACAAAACTACTGACTGATCGGCAATGGCGTCTAGCGTCTCCACCTAAATAAACTTTGCGAATAGTTCTTTAGAAGTTACCGACAACCGACGGGAAATTTGGCGAGCTGCTTGCGAGCTGGATCAACGGTCCTTTTGTTACGCGATCAGTTCGCGATCTTAACGTGAACATATTGCGAACAGGGGAAGAACTGTTCGTGAACAGTTCGCGAACGCCGGTGGATACGCACCAATACGTATCACGTATCCGTAAACGCAAGTGAATTTCTCACTGCGCAAGCGTACATGTCAAACGATACGTTTACGTCTACGTCTTTGGCCGTACTTTAACTGTATTATATTTTTAAGAAACTTAGAACACAATATAGTATTACTTAAAAAAATATATTTACCTACTTAATAACTAAATATACGTTCTGGGTAATATAGTGTAACATACGATCTATCTCCGGCTGTTATAGTACGAACATGTTAAACTAACCTCAGTCACAATCGATCAATCACTTTACCGACGCTAATATGATCATACTAATTTTGTCACACCTGATTAGAGATCATTAAGTTACCCATGATGCGGTTAGAAAAACAATTTCTCGATTGGTGAAATCAAAACATCTAGATTAAATTAAAGTTAAATAAATTATTGTTTATTTCCCCGAAGATCTGCTGAAAATGTAGAAAATAACTTTGTTTAAACAACTTTGAATCCACGACCTCATGATTTAAATAATCCGAGATCGACATCCGACATTCCACCGAGAAGAGTCCGAAGACACTGAATAAATAAAATATGTTTTTCATTTCTTTCCGAATTGTTTGAAACAGCGCCCTCTATTAGATATGTCAATCAAACAATCCAATCCAAATCAAACCAAACCAAACTGAAAAAATAGGCAAATGGAAGGTAAGCCTGTAAAATAATTTTATTATTCAAATACAAATATCAATTATTTTGATGTTTATTCGAAGTGAAATGAAGTTTTGTTAAGTGTAGAGTTGCGCGGTTTTATGTAAACTCATCAAACGATGCTCCAACCTAATTACATCGATCTGCTATTATTATCGGAGTCCCGTTTTTTAATGTTGGCTATGTTTTTTACTTTTAATCTAAAATTTCCAAGTCGTTTTTAAATCCTTTCTACTCGATGTGTCAACACTGGACGTCAAATAAGCCGAGATTCAGATAATTGCTTGGTATTTCCGGCTGATTATCCAAGGTCCCCTAATTTCGAAGTCCTCAGTGATACTTGAAGGTAAAATTTTGACTAGCATCGAATTGCGCAACTTTATCTCTTATTTAACTGCCCTCCATATCTCTTCTATACCTTGCACAGACGAAAACGGTTAATTTCCAAATTAGTTGTAACATTGATTGTTATTGAGTTATATTTATAGTTCTTTCATAAGAGTATTTTATATTATTTTGAATGTTTAAAATTGTTTCAAAAATTATGTGTGACGTTTGAAAAAAATAGCATGTTCTATTCTGAATTAAAAGCTCTTTGCTTCGACTTTTTAAATGCTTCGGCATATTTTCAACACACAATTTCAAGAAATACAACAACTCGAAAATTTAGTTCTTAAAAAAACAGTTTGTGCTTAAAAGTAAAATTTTAAAAAAAAATAATATGAAAGTAGGCAAAAAACGAGAATTACTCACAAAGATTCAACAACAACACGATATTAGAAAATAATGACTGAATTAGGATAATTGTCAAATAATAATAAACGACAACCTTGCTGAAAGCGGCACAATGTGACCAACATAGCGATAATAAAATTCGGTTTAAACTAATTTTTGCAGCTTTAATCTAAATAAAACATTTGTTACAATGATTTGCTCTATAAAGTAAAATGAAGAGCTGCTCGGTATCTTAAATTATACAACAAATTTAAACATTTTTGCCAAAATTTCATTTAGTCAGGTTATAGACTTTAGTGTCAATGTCGATATGATTGATGACGTGCATCGGAAAATGTTTTGCGATTACAATATTGTTTTTATTCTTGACTGTTACGTGGGAATATTACTTGTACCCATATAGCACACATGTTGCCCGAACTACCCACACAAAATCCCTTACCCTAAAAGTTCCAAGTCGTGATACAAAATAAACGTACGTCTCCCATGACGCGTCCGTTACAGATATGACCTACCCAACCATAAATATCTAAGGGGGACCGTTAAAATGAAATATAAAAAAACACAAGGATATTCAACCGTACCCTAAATCGACTTTCCACTAGCCAGTGCAGTATCACAGGTGCATTAGCTACTAAATAATATTCACCTGTTGTTCGTGTCTGTCGCTATAACATCTGTTTCGGAAAGCCATAGAAATGTCTAATTTACGATGGCATAAAAAGTTAACTTTGATGGGGCTTTAAATGGAAGTTGGCTGATTTTGACATTCCTAATTTTGCACATATGTAAAACTATACACATAGATAACATATACCGTTTAGGTAGGTATACGAAATTGTATTTAGTTCAAAGGGAGTTTATTTGTTAGCTATTATAGTCCGGTCGAGATATTAAATCCCGTGAGTTTTTTTAGAGGGCTTTTTCCTTACAACAACCTAAAAAGGGGGTCAATATGCATTTAGAATTCTTGATATTTTATCTAAGGCATACATTATGTTCATAGGGACTTTTTATTTTATTTTTATCTGCAGAGTCATCCACCGAAGTTATATACATTATTTTTTGACACCCTGTATCGTAGTAAACTAACCCTGTAAAAAACTGATTATGTAAGAATCTCAAGTTACTAACATTAACCCATTTTTTTCGATTAAAACACCTGTAAAAGTTCGTTACGCAGCACCTGCC